GGGTCGCAGCAGTGTCAGTGGAGGCAAACGGCCACGGAGTTAGTAGAGCACCAGCTCCACTGCAGCCTACCACCACGGCCAGTAGTGGTGCCGGTGTGCACGGAGGAAGTAGCAGTCAGCCAGTGAGGAGTAGCGGGGGCAAAGTTTCCTACTCGGCGGTGTGTGGCAATTTTTCGTCAAGCCGCCCGAGGAAGTAAACGTAGCCGTATGTCGACTATGTGGCCAGAAAGTCAAGCGTGGCCAGGGGGCCCATGTTGGGACTACAGCGTTGCGTCAGCATATGCAGCGTCGCCATTCGGTGGCCTGGGAAAACCGTGATAAAAGATACGGCGGTTCTGCCTGCCCCAGCCCCCGCTCCATCACCCGCTCCGTTACTTGCTCCGTCACCCGACGTCAATCGCCCTCTATCAGCCAGTCAAGGCTCCAACACCTCTGCTGAGGGGAGTTGTCGCTCGTTGGCATCTTCCGCTCGTTCAGATGCTCCTTCTCCTGCTACTCCTCTTCACGGATTCCGTCAGCAGTCTTTCTTGGAATCCGTTTCCAAGAGACAACACAGTTTGCGAGCACGCACCCGACGGTGCAGAAGCTGAACGTCCTCCTGTCCAAGTTGCTGGTGCTGCAGTCCCTCCCTTTCCAAGTGGTGGACTCAGCACCTTTCCGAGAAATGATGGCTTGTGCCGAGCCGCGGTGGAGAGTGCCAAGCCGGCATTTCTTCGCCAAAAAGGCAGTGCCAGCCCTGCATTCACATGTAGAAGAGATGGTGGGCAGTCTTTGAGCATGTCGGTCTCTGCCAAAGTGCACGGCAGCGCCGACGTGTGGAGCTGTAACTACGGTCAGGGACAGTACATGTCATTTACGGCCCACTGGGTGAACGTGGTGCCGGCACAGCCGCACCAGCAACTTGGACAGGTCACGCCGCTTTTGCCTCCACGTTTGCACGTCCTTGGTCCAGCAAAGATGTCCGCCTCTACCACCTCTTCTTCCGCCGTGTCCTCAGCCGCCACCCCCGTGCCAAGTCCCATTACCCGACCGGCATATCACATGTGCAGGGCGCAACGGTGTCACGCTGTGCTGCACCTGGTATGCCTTGGCGAACGTAGTCACACAGGGGAGGAACTTCTGAGTGTAATGAACAGAGAAATCGACAGATGGCTGTCTCCGCGCAAACTGAAAATCGGAACCATGTTGACCGACAACGGAAAGAACATGGTGTCTGCTCTGCGTCAAGGAAGGTTGTGCCATGCGCCATGCATGGCTCACGTGTTCAATCTGGTTGTCAAGCGGTTCCTAAAATCCACCATCCCACTGCAAGACATCCTTAAAATGTCACGTAAACTTTGCATGCATTTCAGCCATTCCTACACCGCAAAGCACACCCTCCTTGAGCTGCAGCGGCAGAACGGAATTCCACAGCATCGCCTGATCTGCGACGTTGCAACAAGGTGGAATTCAACCCTACATATGTTAGACCGCCTTTACGAACAGCGAAAGGCCATCACCGATTTCCTGATGTTACAAGCGGATAAAGGTACTCCCCTGTGTAACTTAGATGTCAGCCATTGGCAGCTCATGCGTGACACCTGCCGCTTGCTCAGGCCCTTTGAGGAGGCCACGCTATTCGTGAGTCGGCAGGACTATGGGATGAACGACGTCATTCCTCTGTTGCACGTCCTGGAACAAATGCTGTTAACAATGGCTGGTCAGGGTGTCAGGGTGCGGTAGACGTGGCGCACAGATCTCAACGCCACATGACCCCTGTGGGGGCAGGACAGGAAGAAGAGGAGGAGGAGGAGGTAGAGGAGGACATTGGTGCTCAGGAATTATTGAGTGAAATGGGTGGTTTTTCCACTCAGCGGACAGGAGTGGAGGAGCAGGAGCATCTGGTAGAGGAGGAGGAGGAGGAGACAGAGGACCCAGACGCACCGTGGCAGTATGCTGTGGAGATGGAGGCAGGGAGTCCCTCGCATTCCTTGGCACAAATGGCCCATAGCATGCTCGGTTGCTTGCGTAGCGACAGCCGAATAATAACCATCAGACAGAGGGATGACTTTTGGCTGTCCACCTTGTTGGACCCTCGCTACCGTTCAAAAATGGTGGCCTTTTTCACACCTGCTGAGAGGGAGGCCAAAATAAAGTACTATAAAAACCACCTATGTAGTCAGTTGGTCTCTGCCTTTCTGCGCCAACGTCCATCCTCAGACACTGTGGGCCCTGTGCGCTCGCGTTCCGCTGCCATGGCAGCAGGGGAGGGGAGGGGTGGGGTGGTAGGAGCAGTGGCAGCTCCACCAGCAGCGGCTGCCTCAGTCTGCAGTCGATGATGAGTAGCTTTCTTCACCAGCGCAGTGAGGAAACTACTAACCAGCCGCAGCAGCAGCAGCAGCAGCATCAGGTGGACCTGGAGCAGGACCTCAAACAACAGGCTTGGGCCTACTTGGACAGCACCCTGCCAACCGAGGTAGACAATCCCCTTGACTACTGGGCAACGAAACTTGACCTTTGGCCCCAACTAGCTGAATTTGCCCTTGAAAGGCTGTCATGCCCGGCCAGTAGCGTGGCATCGGAGCGCGTGTTTAGTGCGGCAGGAGGTATTGTAACTCCGCGGAGGACACGACTGTCCACCCAAAGTGTGGAGACTCACGTTTGTGAAAATGAATCAGGCGTGGATTAGTCTGGATTTCAAACCACCAGTTCCTGACACAACTGACTAAATCCGCCATGAATCATGCCCCAAACATGTTATTATTTTTAACATAGGCCTCTGTATGGCCTTCAATTTAAGCTGCTTACGCTTCGCCACTCTGCCATGGGCCCCTGTACCGCCTCCTCTTGCTGCTGCCAGGTCCAGAGTGTGTCATGGGTCCCTGTACGGCCTCCCATTGCTGCTGACTTCATCGCCAGACTCTGCCATGTGCCACTTTCAGGTCTCCTCTCCTTACACTGTTGGTGGGTTCCATTTTGTGATAGGTGCTGCTGTATGGCCTTCCATTGCTGCTGCCTCCACCGCCACCCTGCGCCATGTGCCTCTGTCGTCTGCTCACGCTGCTGACGGCTTCCGCTTTTTACCGAGGCCTGTGTTTGGCTTCCGAATACTGCTGCATCCACCGCCACCCTGCGCATGTGTTCTGTCGTCTGCTCACGCTGCTGACGGCTTCCGCTTTTTAACCTAGGCCTGTGTATGGCTTCAGAATAATGCTGCCTACACCGCCACCCTGCGCCATGTGCCTCTGTCGTCTGCTCACGCTGCTGCCAGGTCCATACTGATTCATGGCCCCCTGTACCGGCTCCTCATGAACGTGGTTCAGCGGGTTTGCATCACTTAACGGCAAATCGTTGACAAACGCTGGGACGTTCAGTGTTGTGCGCATTAAGCCAGACACCAAAGGGCAGCACAGACCTGTTATTACTCGCTCAAGCATGGCTGAACAACACCAGTCTCTACCACAAATTGGACCCAGACCTGCCCAGGGTCTCGTAAGTAGATTGCACGGAGGAGTAGAGTTCGTTATTGGAATTAACTGTGAGGGACTTTTAAAACCTAGGCCTGTGTATGGCCTTCAATTGAAGCTGCTTCTGCTCCGCCACTCTGCCATTGGACTCTTGATAGTCGATGACAGCTGGGCCATGAATCTTTTTATGGCCTCTGTATGGCAGCAATGCTTCCACGCCAGCGTAAGCAGACGACAGAGGCACATGGCGCAGGGTGGCGGTGTAGGCAGCATTATTCTGAAGCCATACAGAGGCCTATGTTAAAAAGTCCCCCCAGCAGCAGCGTCATGCTGACACCGGACTATTAGTCGCCTGTACTCCCTCACGCTGCTGCTGGGGGGACTTTTTAACATAGGCCTCTGTATGGCCTTCAATTTGCTGCTTACGCTCCGCACACTCTGCCATGGGCCCCTGTACCGGTTCCATTTCCTCATATGCTGCTGCCAGGCCTGTAATCTGCCATGGGCCCCCGTACCGACTCCTCATGCTGCTGCCAGGCCCGTAATCTGTCATGGGCCCCCTGTACCGCCTCCTCATGCTGCTGCCAGGTCCAGAGTGTGTCATGGGTCCCTGTACGGCCTCCCATTGCTGCTGTCTCCATCGCCACACTCTGCCATGTGCCACTTTCAGGTCTCCTCACACTGCTGGTATGTTCCATTTTGTCATAGGGTGCTGTATGGCTCCCATTGCTGCTGCCTCCACCGCCACCCTGCGCCATGTGCCTGTTGTCTGCTCACGCTGCTGACGGCTTCCGCTTTTTAACCTAGGCCTGTGTTTGGCTTCCGAATACTGCTGCATCCACCGCCACCCTGCGCCATGTGTCTCTGTCGTCTGCTCACGCTGCTGACGGCTTCCGCTTTTTAACCTAGGCCTGTGTATGGCTTCCGAATACTGCTGCCTCCACCGCCACCCTGCGCCATGTGCCTCTGTCGTCTGCTCACGCTGCTGACGGCTTCCGCTTTTTAACCTAGTCCTGTGTATGTCTTCCGAATACTGCTGCTCCTCCACCGCCACCCTGCGCCATGTGCCACTTTCAGGTCTCCTTACACTGTTGGTGGGTTCCATTTTGTGATAGGGTGCTGTATGGCCTTCCATTGCTGCTGCCTCCACCGCCACCCTGCGCCATGTGCCTCTGTCGTCTGCTCACGCTGCTGACGGCTTCCGCTTTTTAACCGAGGCCTGTGTTTGGCTTCCGAATACTGCTGCATCCACCACCGCCCCTGCGCCATGTGTCTCTGTCGTCTGCTCACGCTGCTGACGGCTTCCGCTTTTTAACCTAGGCCTGTGTATGGCTTCCGAATACTGCTGCCTCCACCGCCCGCCCCTGCGCCATGTGCCTCTGTCATCTGCTCACGCGCTGCTGACGGCTTCCGCTTTTTAACCGAGGCCTGTGTTTGGCTTCCGAATACTGCTGCATCCACCGCCACCCTGCGCCATGTGCCTCTGTCGTCTGCTCACGCTGCTGGTGGGTTCCGCTTTTTAACCGGGCCTGTGTTTGGCTTCCGAATACTGCTGCATCCACCGCCACCCTGCGCCATGTGTCTCTGTCGTCTGCTCACGCTGCTGACGGCTTCCGCTTTTTAACCTAGGCCTGTGTATGGCTTCCGAATACTGCTGCCTCCACCGCCACCCTGCGCCATGTGTCTCTGTCGTCTGCCCACCACGCTGCTGACGGCTTCCGCTTTTTAACCTAGGCTTGTGTATGGCTTCCGAATACTGCTGCCTCCACCGCCACCCTGCGCCATGTGTCTCTGTCGTCTGCTCACGCTGCTGACGGCTTCCGCTTTTTAACCGAGGCCTGTGTTTGGCTTCCGAATACTGCTGCATCCACCGCCCGCCCACTGCTGCTGCCAGGCCCGTAATCTGTCATGGGCCCTTGTACCGCCTCCTCATGCTGCTGCCAGGTCCAGAGTGTGTCATGGGTCCCTGTACGGCCTCCCATTGCTGCTGTCTCCATCGCCACACTCTGCCATGTGCCACTTTCAGGTCTCCTCACACTGCTGGTGGGTTCCATTTAGTCATAGGGTGCTGTATGGCCTCCCATTGCTGCTGCCTCCACCGCCACACTGTGGCTCCACACTCTGGTTTTGGCCCCGTGACTGCCCAAATGAGTGAAGTGTGAGGTGATTCTAAGATCGACGGCACTCATCTGCATGTCATACTGACTGACAGTATTAGTTCTCTCTTCCCCAGCAGACTCCAAGGGCATTTAAATTAAAGGTACAGTGTTCTGCACTAATATAAAGGCTCTCTGAAGCCTAGAAACACCCTTTTTATAAGTTTAAATTCGCAGCGAATATATTCGCCTCGAATCGACTTTATTCCGCGAATTCGGCGAATCAGCCGAATCGAATTTTTGAATAATTCGCTCATCTCTAATTGGTTTGTGTGAAAGCTTTAGCATGTATTAACTATGGTATATACCGTAGACTGGAATTTATGCAGCTATAGATGCTATACTGTACTACTAATGGTGGTGATCACTGACTTATAGTGTGACTGTGATAGTGTGGAGGGTAATCTAGTGCTAACAGACACTGGCTGGGAAGGATACTAACTTACACTGACATCGCTAGTAATACTAATACAGTGATCAGTGCTAATACTGTACAATGACACTGGCTGGGAAGGGGTTCAATCAAGAGTTTAACTGTGTGCCTAAAAAATGTAAGATGTGTAATGTGTGTTACTTTTACTCATCTGGCTGTCTTTAATCCCTGCTTTTCAGGGAGAAGAAATAGCCAGATCGCTGTTCTGTTAACACAAAATTCTGTGTGTTTGTAAACACAGAACTCTGTGCTGTAATTGGACACAGCCAATCAACAGCTTTAAAGTGTTACTAAACCCAGAACCCTGCATTCACTATATCTGGTCTCCCACAGTACACACAACATGGAAATGAAATTATTTTAGTAAATATAAACTGCTAAATACCTTTTCTCATCAGCAGTTAGAGAAGTCTTGTGACTTCACCAGAGCACTGCTTAAAGCTTGTAGGAGTTTTCTTTTTGCTCTAGGAGGATGCAAAACCCCTGACCTCTGTCTGAGCAGTGCTGATTGGCCCTGTGCTAATCATATGCACTCTCCCAAAAAAAAAAAAAAACCTCTCTAGCAATACATACTAAGCTGAGCATGTGCAGAAGGGCTACGGGTTAAGTCTGTCTTATCAGCGTGGACATTTGAACAAGAGGAGGGGGCAGAAAAGTCAGGATTAAACAGCATTTTTAGACAATGCAGAGGATTTAACCCCTTAGGTTCCACAATGAGTATAACAAGCATGCTTTACTGCATATACAGACTGATCTTACTGTTGTGGGTTTAGTAACACTTTAAGCTGAAATAATTGGCTCAAACCTGCTGACAATCTTGTGCTGTGTCCAGTCACAGCACGGATCAGCAGGGGGCACACACGTGCATGTAGGATAACCCTGGGAGCCGGCTGAAGATGTACATGTACATTGCCAAGTTGTAGCTACTGCCCGCTTGAAGTAGATGTACTGTGAGCAGATGGCAAGCAGTTAATAAGTATGCAGGTAAAAAACGGTGCACATAAAATATGTACAGAAAAAAGAATATTACAAGGGAAAAAGAGACAATCATGCAATAGAAAAACAGAAAGGTTTTAAGAACAAAAATACTTAACAACCATCCTTGTTCTGAATTCAGCAAAGTCCAATCCAGTCAATGAGCATATGATGGATCATTGGCTCTCATACATCTTGACTGATGTTCCTCCAGTCAGCACCCTCCCTGAGGAGGATGTGGACAGAAACAAACATGTATAGAAGTATGTGGAGATGCTCTGTTTATGTTCAACACATTTAATATCTATTTCCCAGTGGATACCATCCCTGATCATGTACAAACAATATAGAAATGATATCACTCCCCAACACCAGGAGGGCAGGAAAGGAAACTTGGACTTTACACATGTGCCACTGAGAAATCACAGAGTTACAAAATGTCAATAATGTTTTATTACATTGTATAAAAAAGTGTTACAAAAACAAAGAACATAGTTAATAATACAGAATGCATGTATATAAACAATATGTTGTTATTTGGTGTCTAGGACCGACGCATATCGTGAAAGACTTGCTTCTTCAGGATTCACAGCCTAAAGAGTCTAAAGAGTAAACAAAACATAAAACACACATTAAAAACCCATATAAACATATTATATACGTTGCATAATATAAACATAATATAAATAAAAACACTATTAGGAATCTCACCACAACCAAAAAAAAGAGGGGGGGAGGGGAGAAGGAGAAAAGAAAAGAATGTCAAATTTCTCTCACATATCCCGCACCTGCCCAACAAGGATGCAGTCTGTGGAGGTGGAGCACACCAATAAGACATACAATCCCACACCAGATAACTACTGTTAACTAACACGCGTGTCATATATATCAAACCATATCCAGTATATAATTTACCTCTATATATATATTCATGTCTCTCTCTTCCAGCAGAACACCCCCATGTTCAAATATGACCTCATAAATAGATAGAAAGGACACCTATAATATAGAAATGATCAGCAATGAGAAAACAAAAAGCAAACATAACCCCATATCTGTGTACCAAAAAAAACAAAATAACCTACCCCTTTGTGGTTATGTTGTGATAATATGTGGTTTCTCTGTGACACATTTAAAGTTCCAATTTTTTTTCGCCCACACTCTTGGTGTTGGGGAGTGAAAGGGGTTTCTATATAATATGGACAGAAATGGCCTGACCATTAAGAAGGTCAGAGGAGCAGCCCAGGGGAGGTAACAGTCTTTATGATCATTCAGCTGTCCCAACCTCAGATACAGTCTTCTAAATATATTATTATTATTATTTTGAGTGTACCCCGTGTCATGATCTGATAACCAACATATTATTGTGCAGTATGCTATTGCCATTACAGAGATATTAAACATGATATACCTCAGATAGGCAAGAGTTGGAAGACATTTATTCTGTCTCATGTATGTGATAGCCTAATGATGCGTGATCTTGACATACTTAGTATTTTTTCATGTCTGATTTCATGAATTATGTTCCATTCCAGACCTACTGTTAGCGTGATATTAAAGGTTTCACAGGGAAAGCTGTACTGAAAATGTTTTTTTAGAATGCATTAGGTTAAAAAAAAACTTTTACCTTTTACAACCATTTTAAGGCATTAATTTGGATATTTACAGGTCCTAGCTAAGTAGGTTTTATGATCCTGCTGGAAAAGTTGTGCAATCCTGAGTCATGTTGTGGGAGAGATGTCACTGGCTATGGGGTGAAGCTGAATTCTGAACAACATGGTTTCCCTGTGTCTACTCATACAGTTTTTGGTGTGCCCAGTTCGCCTTATCATCACCGTGTTTGTAGGCACTTTCAGTTCAATACCATGCTTCAAGGGTTGTCTTTCTCTGGTCACATACACAGCAAGCTTTTGGTAGAAAGTAGGAGGTACCTTGCCTTGCTGTTGTTACCAGGGGCATACTGACAACTCATGGGGCCCCCGGGCAATAGGGGATCATGGGGCCCCTGTGTCCTTGCCCAAACTCAAAAAAGCCTATGAAAAAGGTACCAGGGGAATTTCATGGGGCCCCCTACTGCCCCCGGCCCTCGGGCAGTGCCCGAGTTTCCAAATGGTCAGTCCGCCCCTGGTTGTTACCTTGTG